TTTTACACGCGTTGTGTACGTTGCTATGGGTCCCAAATCAAAGAGAACGCAGTGGTGATGACCACCGCACCATAAGAACTTGAAGGGCGGTAGTCGTCGCGCCACGCATGCGCGAGATATATGTTGCACAAACTGAGACATTTCCAAACTCTAATTAGATAATTTTTAGATGATTGGAAGGTATCGAAGGAGTCACCGACGGTATTCAGTGCAGTCGCACCCGGGTCAAACCTCATATTTAGGATTTCCATTTGAAGAGCGCATTGGATTGTGGGGAAAACAATGTTTATCAACACAAATGTCGCACATGCGCAGAGCACAGCATATAGTAAACAGTACCAGCCATGTAAGGGTTTGGTCATGCGCTGGAGTAAACTCGGTCAATGGTATCGTGTCAAAATGTGTTACATCCGGGTTTTACTGGCAACAACATTTTGAAACTTGAAAATAAGAAAAATATTTACATACTCTGTTTTGAAATCACAGGGGGTGTCTGATGAAAGAATTGTTTAAAAATGCGAGCTAGACACCGAGAGAGAGAGAGAGAGAGAGAGAGAGAGAGGGGGGTGGGGTGTTGGCACATTTAAATGTACATGTAAGACACCGTGTACAGAAAATTGCACTTGTTATGCTCTTTCACCCCCATGGTCGCAAATGGTTGAACCCAAACACCCTTCTCCTTAAAAATGTGGCATACCTTGTTGAGCATAAAATTGCTTCCGCCATTCCTACTATTAAAGGAAAGATCGTTACTGTGACATGTAGTATAACTCACTCTTGTGGAACTTGCCATAAAGTGCTTTAAATGACAAGTTTGATTTTGTTCAAGAAAATGTTTGTAACACACAGTGAGTAAATGTAACGGTACACAGTAACAGCGATCCACTAAACTAAACCCGGAAGTAGTACACCCACTTAAAAACTGTATGTACGAAATTTGTGGGTATATAGGTGTGGATATGGGTTACTTGGCCGTTGTGTGTAGTAGATTGTGTATAGTTGACTTACGGAGACTGAGGTATAAACATGGAGGTATAAAGATACCTCCATGAATTGACCATTGACGTGTATGCGTGCATCAGTATGATGTATGCATATCTACTGGGACAGGTGATGGGACAAAACAGTTACAAATATCTTAAAATATACTAGTATCCAAGCACCAATATGTAGGAGTGATTTAATGTTATATCAAGGACCTACTTAATGGTTGGTTCATGGTCATATTAACCCCATTGCAACATATTGTCATTATCACGTCGAAGGTAACACAATGCATGACCACTGACACTACAAGGGGAAGATTACACTGTCCGCAAACAAAAAAATAACGATTAGTGAGCAGGTGGTGGGGGTTGTCGAAAACAGCACTCAAACTGAAATTATCGAAATCAACTCAAAAACGCGATGTTCGTTTGGTAGATATATTCCCACGCATGTGAATGGTTGACCGCCCGGCCATTATGTGAGCTACCCAAGTCACTGACACTTACATGCACACCTTGCGAAAACAACTAAATGGTAAGCCAAACTTATAATAGCCCACAACTTTGTTTCTGGGAGCTATATTGATTAACAGGTCAAAACAAAATCCAGTTACCTTATCCGTATCCAATGCGTACGATGTTTGATCGCCGTATGTGCCGCACCCCTTTCGTCGTCTTCTAACACCTCAAGGAGACAATACACTCTCACTCATTTGCATTACAAAGTCGACCTTGCATTCTTTCATAGCAGCTGTGGTAGAATAGGGTTGGGCCAATCGAATTAATGTCGCCGGGGTAAGGCAACTGAGTATAGCAACTGCGGAGATTGAGAAATCTGGTGATATGGGCGAAGATATCTTCCAGTGTACGGGAATTACGGAGGTTGAAAAATATGGTGATATGGACGAGGGTACCC